AGACCCAGCGAAGCCTTCTTCCAGGCTTAACTGGAAAATTCCTCTGAAGTCCTCCTCACAGATCCCTTCCCACACCCACCCACTGCTGTTTTAGTTAACAGGGAATTGTGGAGGCAAATTGTTTCAATATTTGCAAGGACCAGTAGTATATCTTCTCATAGCTGTAGATAATCCTTTATAAGCTGTTGTGAGTCTCTATGCATCAACATTAATACTTTCCCTAATGCGTGCTTGATGCAATGCACCAAAAGCCTAGATGAATAGAAGAGAGAGAAAAAGGGGGAAACATGGTGATTTTTCAATAGAATTTAGATATGAATTTCAAAAATGTTCTGGCTTTCTTGTATCTCCCACTCCCTAACCCCACATTTGTCAGGTTGGCTGTGCTTGATAAAGTTTTCTCAAAGCCAACATGGGATACCAGTGACTTCTGAACACATTAACTGGTGATGGGGAAGAATCTGGCATTACTATTTTGACTTCTCAGTAAATCTGTGGGGGGAGAGACATCCCCTCTTGCTTACAGAAGATGTTTAGGATAGTGAGCCCTAATTCAAAAGTGTTTTTCTCCTTGACTAACTCTATCAAGAACTAAGACATGGGTAAAGGACTTGAACAGACATTTTTCAAAAGATGAAATTCAAATAGTCAACAGACACATGAGAAAATGCTCAGGACCACTTGCCATCAGTGAAATGCAAATAAAAATCACAATGAGGTTTCACCTCACCCCAGACAGAATGGCTCTCATACAAAAATCAAAAATAATAAATGTTGGTGAGGATGTGGAGAAAAAGGTACCCCAATATGCTGTTACTGAAAATATAAACTAGTATAGCCATTGTGGAAGACAGTATGGAAATTCCTCATAAATATGAAAGTAGATCTACTGTATGATCCAGCCATCCCACTCCCGGAAATTTACCTAAGCAAAATGAAATTAGCATATGAAAGAGTTATTTATACCCCCATGTGTTTCATTTTGTTTTGTTTTTGTAAGGGAAAGGGTTTATTGGGGAAACCCAACAGACTGGAGGAAAGGGGCAAAGAAGGAAAAAGAGGGAGAGGGAGACCGTAAGAGAGAGATCCAGAGAGAGAGATCCAAAAACAGAGAGAGAAACAAACAGACAGAGAGATCAGGAAATGGAGAGAGAGAGCCACGTGTTCAAGGAACAGGTCCTTTCATTTTTTTATTTTTATTTATTTTATTTTTTAGAAAACTTTTATTTAAGGCCGGCGCTGTGGCTCACTAGGCTAATCCTCCACCTTGCGGCGTCAGCACACCAGGTTCTAGTCCCAGTTGGGGCGCCAGATTCTGTCCCGGTTGTCCCTCTTCCAGGTCAGCCCTCTGCTGTGGCCTGGGAGTGCAGTGGAGGATGGCCCAAGTCCTTGGGCCCTGCACCCCATGGGAGACCAGGATAAGTACCTGGCTCCTGCCATCGGATCAGCGTGGTGCGCCGACCGCAGCGTGCTGGCCGCGGCGGCCATTGGAGTGTGAACCAATGGCAAAGGAAGACCTTTCTCTCTGTCTCTCTCTCTCACTGTCCACTCTGTCTGTCCAAAAAAAAAAAAAAAAGAAAACTTTTATTTAATAAATATAAATTTCGAAAGTACAGCTTTGGATTATAGCGGTTTCCCCCCCATTACCCCCCTCCCACCCGCAAACCATCCCATCTCCCACTCTATCTCCCATCCCATTCTTCATCAAGATTCATTTTTAATTATCTTTATATACAGAAGATCAACTTAGTATATACTAAGTAAAGATTTCAATGGATTGAACCCACACAGACACACAAAGTATAAAGTACTGTTTGAAGACTAGTTTTACCATTAATTTGCATAGTACAACACATTAAGGACAGAGATTCTACATGGGGAGTAAGTGCACAGTGACTCCTGCTGTTGATTCAACAATTGGCACTCTTATTTATGAGGAACAGGTCCTTTTAAAACTTTGCTAGGAAGTGGGCAGGGAAGAAGGAACAGTGAATCCCATTAGAATGCGGGTGGGGCTGACACCAGTGGTTGGGCCATGTGGCCACCTAGCTTCCAGCAATGGTGACAGGGGTTAGAGCCTAGGCTGGTGCCAGGACTGCACCATTTTACTAACATTCCCCTCTTTTGTTTCTTATAAAGTAGGAGTTGTATGGCATTACGTTAGTCCCAAAAGTCCAGGAGGGGTAGAGAGATGATGATCTGTCTTTAGAGCTACTTCTTGCTGACATGGGGCGACGAGGTACTCTTCATTGGCATGGTATGCCCCCATGTTTATTACAGCTCAATTCATGATGGCTAAGATATGGAATCAACCCAGATATCCATCAGCTGATGATTATATAAAGAAAATGAAGTATGTATGCACTATGGAATACTACTCAGCCATAAAAAATGAAATTCTGTTTTTCACAACAAAATGGATGCAACTGGAGACCATAAAGCTTAGTGAAATAAGCCAGTCCCAAAAAGACAAATATCATATTTTCCCTGATCTATGATAACTAATAGAGTGCAAAAAAATGCAATATACATGAGAAAAATTGACATTTTGAGATTTAAATATTGTTTACAGCCCTTGTCTCTACTGTTGAATTCTTTACTTGGTGGAGTGTTAAGCTTATTATTATAAAATAAACTGAAAGCATGTCATTGTAAAAATTAAATGAATAAAAAAGGAAGGAGGAGGGGGGCTGAGAACATGGGCAGGAAGGAGGGTAGGGTGGAAAGTATTACTAGGCTTATAAATCTGTATATATGAAATACACAAAATTTGTCCACCTTATATAAATTTTTTTAAATTAAAAAAAAGAGAAATGTAGGTATCTTTTCAAGAACCAATCTTAATGATAGGGAAAGTAAAAAATAGGCATAAAAAGGACACACCTTCTGCCAACGTCTGCATTCCAGAGCTCCACTGCAATATCTCCCTGATAGCACAAAATTTGCAAGATGAGGGTCTTTTTGCTGGACAGAGGCTCAGTCTAGACACGGGCCCAGCTCTTGGAAGTGCCACTAAGAAATCATGTTTGATGCTGTGTATAATAATGAAATTACAATCACACAACAGAAAAGTTATGGGCTTTGGAATCACACTATCCTCCCTGCAAACCACTTTAGGCCATTTACTTCACCTGAGACTCTGTTTTTCTGTCTTTAAAATGAAAATAATACGTAGAAGAACTTCCAGGGTTGCATTGGAATAGATATGTGTATTCATTGAGCATGATGGCTTGGCACATTTCATGTATCAATAAATGTTAATTTTTCTCTCTGCATCCTCATACCAACAGTACAGTAAGGATAGAATTAAAGTACACTATACATGAATGGATAAATTGAGAGACGTTTCAATGTGCATTAGAGAAACCACACCCAAGTACAAATCAGTGATTCCCCTGAGTTTTCACAAGAATTCTCTGTTCTTTATATAGTCATATCTTAATGATTTAAACTCATGGATTTTCTTCACTATTTATACATATTGAGCACATGTTCTAAGGCAAGTACTGTGATGAAGGTGAGACAGAGTGAAGTTAAGGGCAGGGAGCAATGAAGATATGAAGATATTAGTAAAAAAAAAAAAAAGGCAAGCTCCCTTTGAGTTAAGGAAACAAGAAAAGACAAGTGAACAATTTATCACTGCTTATATGTGATAAGGGGGTGGGCATAGTGAGTCATGTGGATGAAAACAAGTTCTGTCAATCAACTAATCTTGTAAGCTTTCTAATTCCTTTTAATACCCCCTTGGACTCACACTTGTTTCTATTTAAACCCTGGCTCTAGTTAGTATATGATCTTCAGCAAGTCACTCTACTACTCAAGGTGGTTCTCCATATGTAAAATGGGAATAATAGTTTCTCCTTATAAAAGATTGTGTGTGTGTGTATCCTTTTTTTTTAAACTTTCATTTAATGAATATAAATTTCAAAAGTACAGCTTATGGATTACAATGGCTTCCCCCCCATAACGTCCCTCCCACCCGCAACCCTCCCCTTTCCCACTCCCTCTCCCCTTCCATTCACATCAAGAGTATCCTAATATCAGCAACCATAGGAGTTATCTAAACCGTGGCCACTTTTCAAAGGAAATAGGAAGCCAGGGTGTGGGAAGATTTATGAACTCTGGAGCCATTTCTTTCCTTGATGTCGAATCTAGCAAAAAGCTAAGAGAAAAAGCTACAGACTAATGACTGTAGTGACCCTTTGGAATTGTTCTTGATTTAATTATTCATGCTATTGCTATCCCCACCACCACAGATAATCAAGAAGCATAAGCCAGCATTTGGCATAGCAACATATCCTACTGGAGTAATAATGCAGTATTTTTTGGTCTTTTTGCTCATTAGATGATCAAATGAAGCAAATTCTTCTCTTTTTCCCTTTTAATTTCAGTGACAAAATGTTCCCAGCATTTGGGTTTGGTGCCAGGATACCTCCAGAGTACACGGTAAGTGAGTGGGCTCGGGGTCTTTCACTTGACTGAAGGTCAGGGATGACTTGTGTTTCCTTCCCAGCAGCCTCACTCAGGCCCATAGAGTCAAAGGTGATCTCAGCTCCTCAGAGCCCATCTCTTGCTGAAACTTAATCCCCTAGCATTCTGTATGGGTCTTCTCAGAGGTCCAGTTGAAGAGATCCCTTGTTTAGCTTCTTGGATACGGTCAGAGATGGGAAACCCCTCAGTGCTTCCAGACCTTCCCGCACAGATCTTCCTGGGAAAGACCCTCTGACAATGCCAACTGTGAACATCCATATTGAAGACATCTACAAACTTCCTCACCCAAGCATCTAAGCACCCTTCTTACATGGGAGACACAGAGAAGCATGGCCCAGACAACTAGGAGGCTGAAAGGCTCTTACAAAGACATTGGGATCCTGTGTTTCTCATGTCAAAAAGGCAGAGACTATGTGATAGAGATGTGCTGCAGGCATCAAGACACCCTACTCTCTCATACACAAGATTCCCCTGAAAACACTCTGCAAAGAGAACTCAGCTCCTCCATGTAGACAGCAGTCTCTGACCAAGCCTGCACTTCCCCAGTGCCTCTAAGGCTCAAGCTAAGTACAAGCAACACTGCAGAGTCATCATTCTCTCTTCACTGACCATGTCTGAGCCACAGGTCAGAAAACAGATGATGACATTTGCTCCTTCAATGGTGTGGTCACACAGAGGGCCTTTCCCTCTAGGGTGAACAGTGGTTGAGTGGTCTCCTGACTTCCCTTCCCCTTGTGTGCCTTGCATTGCATAATGGCCTCCCTGCTAGGCTGAGCTATGAGATTCTAGAAGCATTTGTTTGACATAGAGCAACTGGGAGGAAAATATATGGGTTAGAAATTGCTGGCTGCTGGCCTATAGACATCTCTGAGGCCATAAAGTATATAGGACAGCTCTTTAAAAGAATTAGGTAATTTCATATACAGTGTCAGATTTCTGCATTATTTTGAAAACATGGAAGACCTAGCATCATCAAGATTAAAAGATGATCTATAACAGAATTAACCAAAGCTGAAATGATTCAGTCCTCTTCAGATGGGGTATCAGTTCCTGATTGTGTTCAGATGGGTACCCATCTTCCTTGCAGAGCTACTGGGGCTCTAAATTGGAATGCACCCTGGCAACCATCAGCCTGACTATCCAGAGATAATTGAAAGTTCTCCACTGTATCCCTACCAGCTGACCTTCCAATGTCATTTTGGCCCTAGAGGACTGAAGACAGAGCTGCACAACACTCTTGTTAGTGCCCTTCCCTTTCATAGCCATGACATCTCTCTGGCTGTCTTCCTGCAGTCATTGTTTTGTCCTATTGTTCTCTGAAGTCTTCATGTTCACTTGATCCCTGGCTCCATCCTGCCCATCAGTTAATGTATTCTTTCTGCCCTCCCAATAGGTATCTTTCATGTTCCCCCGCTTTGGCTTCCAAAAAGCCATTCAAGTACCCATTTTCCATAGCTAGCTTGCTCTCTGCCTCAGGTAGGCGCTGGTGGTTGCACTATCCCTCAGAAAGTCTACAAGCTCACCAAAGTCTACTACTTTAGGGTAAAATCTCAGAGAGTACATTGAAATTGAAACATAAGAACCTCTGTCTTTGTTCTCCCCAAGAAAGACCTAGAGACCAGAATTTTTATGCAAGTAGTTTAGTTGAGAGGTAGAAGAAACCTTAATGGAGTATAGGTAACTGGAGAAGGCAACATAAGTTGCATCATCAAGCCAGGTACCATTGTGGGCAGCTGGGGCTCAATCCTGCTGGGGAACCTGATGACAATGAATACACAGACCCTGAGGGATAAGGAAACTGGGGTGCTTGTACACCATCTGTCAGTTATGAATTAGGGACTGCTTCCGAAGGACACTTTCTCCAACACTGATAGCCTGTAAGTTGGCAGGAAAAGCAAGTTGTGGGGGCCAGAGAACACCCCAAGGTCAATAAAGCAGGTAGGATGGATAGAAGTCAGCCGACCTGCCTGGAAGCATCAAGAGCAAGGGACATAATAACCTGTGAACTCTCATCAGGAAAGAAGGGTCTATTGTATAGCCCTCCAAGATAGTCAGCAGTTACAAGTAGCATTTGAGATAGAATTCTCCAAAAAATTCCAAATGATTCAATAGAAACATCCAGATGCCAGAACATCCCCCCTGTTTTATCAGGTTTTGGGGGAAAAAATGTGAACAGTATGTTATTTGGCCTTGTGCATAGTTCTTTCCAGATAGAGGGATCTGTGTTGGAAGAATACAATGTACCTTGCAAGGTATATTACTTTATTACTTTTCCAAAATTAGAGTATTGCATATTTTACCTCTATAAGTGAAAATCTTCCTGCCCCTTGGGTCTACAAATCATATTGGAATGATTCTTAAATGTCAAAAGCTTAGCTGGAGCTTTTAAACCATCTCCTTGTTGAGTAAACAGTTTGGGTTGAGTTACCACTGTTTTAAATCACTAGGTCCAGACAGAGCTCAGCCAAGTCTAATCCTCAGCCCATGGCTGGTTCTACCTAGAACTATTTGCAGTAATGTTTTCTCTTGTATGTTGTATATGCCTTAGTCTCCCCTCCTGCTATCATTTATCTGATTCCAGAAAATCTTCCCTGTCCCTTCAACTCTAGTGGGATTAGAGTTCACCCTGTATCTCATATTGATTGTGTAAAGGCTTAAAATGGTTCCTGCTGCTTCATACTTCATGAATGGAAGAGTCATTGCTTTGCAAACTCTAAACCCCACTGCCTCCTTACTGGATTAAGGTTGTAATTCACCTTCCTTCCTTGTTTGCATTTTAATTGGTTTCTAGGTCTCTCATGACTTTGCAATCAACTTTAATGAAGACAACCCAGAATGTGCAGGTAAATCACAACATAAATGAAATCCCGCGTCTCGCAACCCTCTGGATGCATCTTGCCCTTCTTTCTCTGCACCAATAAATGCAATAGTCAGTTGTTACTGTCCACAACAAAGGCCTGGGCCTCTGGAGCCAAATAAGTAAACCACACTGCTCCCAAGGCAACAGAAAGCCATCCTTACACAGCAGAAAAATAGAAGCTCAAAAAGACAGAATACAGAGGAGGCGCTTGTGCTTGCAGCAAGAATATTGATCTCAATATTGGATTCCAACTAAAACCCATGTGGGGTATCTTCCTGATGGGCAGGGATGGTGAGATATCTGGCTTTCTGCTTCGCACATTTGCATCAAGCATTTATGCTTCACAATTTACTCTCTGTGAAGACAGAGGAAAGGAGAAAACATGGAAACCATTTGACTCTTTGGATATGTTTGCCAAGGACATGGACTCAGTGGCTTTGAACAGGGATCTTCATGGCTCAGTGCCAGACAGAGAAGTCTCAACTGCACTGGCCCATGCTCTGTTCTTCCAGTCAGAAGCTCCCCAACACTACTGCACAAAATAATTACACTGGAACCATGATAATAATCATGATGGCAAATTTTGTCCCAGAAAAATGTCTTGCTTTCTAAATAGCAGATTGATCCAATGACATTTGATACTTTGAAGATCATAGACATCTTTGCAGTAGAGATGTCTGTATCTCTCTCCTCCTCCTTGTCAATAGGAGGTGCTGCACCAGGGTTAATTTGGATCCAGAGCAGTATGTAGCAAATTCATCAGTTTCTTCCACATACTTGGCCATTAATGTCCAAGAATATGGCACCCATATCATTGGGTCTGAACATAGTGTCCTCCAAGACTGAATCTCCGTTCTGCCTTTATTCCCTACAGGATCCTTTACCCACAGTTCATTGTAGTTTAGACTTCTCTCCTCCTCTTTAATTAGAAGAGTGATTTCCACCAAAGCAGAATGAGATACATATCCTGGAGTTCACTTGTTTCATATCCTTAGAATCTGTCTTCTGAGTATTTTTGAAAAGGAAGTCAAATCAAAAGTGCTTATATTAGGCAAAAGCCCCAAAACATATATACATATATATGCCATTCAGCATCACTTAACTTCAGAATCAGGCTGCATAAAGAGTTTGCATCTGTCTTTAGAATGACAGGTTTTGGGACAGAGCAAAGTGCAAACAACCTTTCCAATGAGGTTGGGAGCATGTGTGTAAGAACGGAACAGAACAGAAAAGGACTTGTTTACCAAAATACCTAAGAGTGGTTTTGCAGGGCCTGGTGGCTATGGAGAACAGTCTTAAGAGGACTTGTGTGGATCCCTCTGGCCAAAACCAGGTCCAGCATACTGTGTCAGGACAGAAAGACATAGTGGATAAGCTGAAAAGGGGTAATGCAAGGAGTAGTATAGACAAAAACACCCAGAGGAGCCATTTGGCTGAAAATCATTTGCAATGGTGCTATTACTGTAGGAACTGGATTATAACAGGAAATGTACAGTCTAGACTTGTCAAATGTTGGGAGCAGCTACGTGGCCAGGGCTGCCTCTCTCAGGAGAGTTTTATCTTTTTCTATTTCCTGGGCTGATGTGGCCACAGAATGGAGGCTCCCTTTAAATTCAGGGTTGATTACAATGATGGACATCAGTTATCTATGTTACAGTCCCCATAGATGAGGATAGCAGCCATTTTTCCTGTCCACCACACATGTGGTGAACTAGACTGCCTCATGCTCTTTAGGGGAACATGAAAATGAGCAAGTCATGATTTCTGCCCACGAGGAGTATAACAGCTAGAGATATGATCATATTCACACAGTAACTCTTACAAGTGGCCTGTGTGGTATGCAAAGATGGAGCCACAAGGTGTGAAATTAGAAAAGCATCAAGCCAACTTGCCTGTGGCTAAGAACACAGCTCTTGGAGCCAGATAGAGCTGTATCTGAGTCCTGAGTCCATAACTTACCTCCTGTGTGACCTGCAGCAAATCAGGTGGCCTTCTATAAGCCTCTGTTTCTTCACCTGTGAAGTTGAGATGACATCTATTTCACTATGCTGTGAAGTGCAAATAAAGTCTCACGTGAAAAGGGAGTCATTAGAGAAATGTTAGTGGGAATGGCTGCTTCTGACTTGAACTTTGAAAGAGAATGATTTCACTTGGGGAATGATATTCCTTTGAAAACATAAATGTGATGTTGGTAAGGACTGTTTGGGGAAATTCAATGCTTTATTTGTGTGTGTTTGATTATATTTGACCTTTGCCAATTTCACCATAGGAATTCAAGGAGTGGTGGAAGCCTACCAGAGCTGTCTTCCTAAGCTGCAGCTCTATGGTCCCACCAACATCGCCCCCATCATTCAGAAGGTTGCCAAGTCAGCGTCAGAGGAGACCAACACCAAGGAGGCATCGGTAAGGAAAGGGGTGATTCACCTGCTAATGGGATTTCCCCATCCTCACCAAGATATTGGCCACAATACCCATCCCACTCTGACAATAAATTCCAGCATTTCTACCCATGTTCCCATGATGTTGTGGGTTGTTGGCCAGAGGCTTCAGTTCCTGCCTGTAGGTTGCTCTAGAGAGCCTCTTGAACATGCCATGGCAGGGCAACTGGCTTTCCTCAAGGCAGGTGACTCAAGAAGGAGCAAATCAAAAGCCATACTTTATGTTATGACTTTCCCTCAAAAGTGACACATCATTTCCATAGTGTCCTGTTGGTTACACAGGATATTCTAATTCAGTGTGCAAAAGACTACACAAGGATATAAGGATGGTATATATATGTGTATATATACCTGTACCTTGGCTCTAGGCTGGGAATGATCCACAGCCTGGCAGACAGATCCACCACCTGCCTTTTATTCAATCCACTGTCTCTGCCCTACAACTTAGTTGCGTTTTCAGCTCCTTTAGGCTTGTGACACACAGAAACTCCTGAAATGGAATGGGGATAGGGTAAAGTTAAATTTTATTTTAGAATAATAATTTTTAAGTGTTCCTTTATTATTTTTTTCATTTTTTTAACTTTTATTTAATAAATATAAATTTCCAAAGTACAGCTTTTGGATTACAGTGGCTTTTTCTCCCCATAACTTCCCTCCCACCTGCAACCCTCCTGTCTCCCGTGCCCTCTCCCATTCCATTCACATCAAGATTCATTTTCAATTATCTTTATATACAGAAGATCAATTTAGTATATATTAAGAAAGATTTCAACAGTTTGCACCCACACAGAAACACAAAGTGTAAAGTACTGTTTGAGTACTAGTTATAGCATTAATTCACATTGGACAACACATTAAGGACAGAGATCCTACATGGGGAGTAAGTGCACAGTGACTCCGTTGTTGACTTAACAAATTGACACTCTTGTTTATGGCATCAGTAATCTCCCTAGGTTCTTGTCATAAGGTGCCAAAGCTATGGAAGCCTTTTTAGTTCGTGAACTCCAATCTTATTTAGACAAGGTCATAGTCAAAGTGGAAGTTCTCTCCTCCCTTCAGAGAAAGGTACCCCCTTCTTTGATGGCCTGTTCTTTCCACTGGGATCTCATTCATAGAGACTTTTCATTTAGTTTTCTTGTTTTGTTTTGTTTTGTATTTTTGCCAGAGTGTCTTGGCTTTCCATGCCTAAAATACTCTCATGGGCTCTTCAGCCAGATCCTTATCTGAGGCCAGAGTGCTGTTTAGGACATCTGCCATTCTATGAGTCTGCTGTGTATCCCACTTCCCATGTCGGATCATTCTCTCCTTTTAATTCTATCAGTTAGTATTAGCAGACACTTGTCTTGTTTATGTGATCCCTTTAACTCTTAATCCTATCATTATGATCAATTGTGAACTGAAACTGATCCCTTTGACTAATGAGATGGCATTGGTACATGCCACCTTGATGGGATTGAATTGGAATCCCCTGGCACATTTCTAACTCTACCATTTGGGGCAAGTCCAATTGAACATGTCCCAAACTGTACATCCCCTCCCTCTCTTATTCCCACTCTTATATTTAACAGGGATCACTTTTCAGTTAAATTTAAACACCTAAGAATAAGTGTGTGTTAATTAAAGAGTTCAACCAATAGTATTAAGTAGAACAAAAAAAAATACTAAAAGGGATAAAGTATTAAGTTGTTCATCAACAGTCAGGACAAGGGCTGATCAAGTCACTGTTTCTCATAGTGTCCATTTCACTTCAACAGGTTTCCTTTTTGGTGCTCGGTTAGTTGTCACTGATCAGGGAGAACATATGATATTTGTCCCTTTGGGACTGCCTTATTTCACTCAGCATGATGTTTTCCAAATTCCTCCATCTTGTTGCAAATGATCGGGTTTCATTGTTTTTGATTGCTGTATAGTATTCTATAGAGTACATGTCCCGTAATTTCTTTATCCAGTCTTCTGTTGATGAGCATTTAGGTTGATTCCAGGTCTTAGCTATTTTAAATTGAGCTGCAATAAACATTAAGATGCAGACAGCTCTTTTATTTGCCAATTTCATTTCCTTTGGGTAAATTCCAAGGAGTGGGATGGCTGGGTTGTATGGTAGGGTTATCTTCAGGTTTCTGAGGAATCTCCAGAGTGACTTCCATAGTGGCTTTACCAGTTTGCACTCCCACCTACGGTGGGTTAGTGTCCCTTCTTCCCCACATCCTCTCCAGCATCTGTTGTTGGTAGATTTCTGTATGTGAGCCATTCTACCAGGGTGAGGTGAAACCTCATTGTGGTTTTGATTTGCACATCTCAGCATTGCAGACCAAGACTTCCCCTAACATAGCTCCCTCAGACCCCAGAGGTCTTGAAGCAAATTTCAGTCCTCATAGTTACAGAATTTAGAAGAGTCAGACAGGACCAGCATTTCATTTTTTTTTATTTATTTTTAGCACCAGATCCCATTCTTCCAGGAATACCTTGCTCAGACACCTAGCACATAAAATGGACACACACACACACACACACACACACACACACACTCACACACACACACACACATACTTCTTGCCAAATCTGAGCCCAGGAGCAAGGGCGAAACTTATCTGTTCTCATTTCCCCATTTTCCTCAAGAGTATCCAACGCATCTCTAGGGCTCTCAGAGCTCACTTTAAAAACCAGGTTATCTGATCTCCCTTTTAAAGTAATAAGAGAACACAACACTGACACAGGTTCTGGATTTGGAGCTAAGCCAGCCTGAGTTTCTGGCCATTACTCACTCCTTGAGGGATAGGTGGGTTGGCTCTGAAAGGACAGGTGAGGAAACAGAACCAAATGCAGGAAAACACCCCAAATCCTCAAGTGCATGACCCCTATTCACATTGAGCAGAGCTCCCCTCCAAAGGTTGCTCTTGTCTTTGAACAGTTGGTGACCCAGGCCCTTTGTTGTCACTTACTGCTAAGGATCATAAACTTAAACCTCTAGGTGGGCACTTTCAGGGAGTCTGTGGCTACAGATTTTTCTCCTTGATTTTGTGGAACCCTTTAGGAAAAAAGACCTCAGGTATATTCAGAGACTATCACATTCCATCCCTGAGCATTTTCCCAGCCTGACTTTGGAAGAAACTGTTGCTGCTAGCTTTATTGGAAATTTCCATCAGGTTCAGGTCCAGCTGTCTGCAGCCTGTTACTTTTAGCTCGATGAAACCTGAAAGCACCAGCTTGTAGAAGCCTGACAATGTCTTCAGATAAGGAGTTCTTAACCCTTCTTGTTGCATAGACCGTTTAGCAGTTGGTAAAGCCCATAAACCCCAAGTGTGCAAAATAAAATATACTTTGTAGACTAAACTGATGATATTGAAATGCAGAAGGAGAAATACTGTAATGTGACATAGATTCAGAATAAATATGATGAAATCCTTCTTGTATTTATATATTAAACTATGAGAACTAATAGTTGACCTTCTGTGGTTTCTAATTAGTTTTGAGTATAAATGGTAAATGAAATATTTGTGGCCACTGTCATATAACCAGAGAATATTTATGATTTCTGTTGATAACTAAGTCACCAGTATAGCTAATACTAATTTGAGTTGTTGAACCATTTATAATTTAAAAGATGATAAATATCAGTTCTAGATTAGTGACAATTAAAATGTCATTTACCCCCAAGCTGTTAGACTGCCTGAAGTCTTCCAGCTGTTCGTAGACCCACGTGAAGAACATTTGCCCTAGACCTGGGGTCAAGGAGCTTTATCTCACAGCCTGTTTCTCAGTGGCTTGCAAACTAGGAATGATTTTTCCATGTATTAGTGGTTGAAAAAAAATAAGAATAGTGCATGACACATGAAAATTAAATGACGTTCGGGCTGGCGCCATGGCTCAATAGGCTAATCCTCCGCCTGCAGCGCCGGCACACCAGGTTCTAGTCCCGGTCAGGGCGCCAGATTCTGTCCCGGTTGCTCCTCTTCCAGGCCAGCTCTCTGCTATGGCCCAGGAGTGCAGTGGAGGATGGCCCAAGTGCTTGGGCCCTGCACCCCATGGGAGACCAGGAGAAGCACCTGGCTCCTGCCTTCGGATCAGCGTGATGCTCCGGCCGCAGTGCGCCGGCCATGGCAGCCATTGGAGGGTGAACCAACGGCAAAGGAAGACCTTTCTCTCTGTCTCTCTCTCTCTCACTGTCCACTCTGCCTGTCAAAAAAAAAAAAAAGAAAGAAAATTAAATGACGTTGGAATTTCAGTGTCTATAAATAAAGTTTTACTGGAACACAGAAACTCTGGCTGTCGTCACACTGCAATGCATGTGAGCTGCCAGCTCACATGATGCTCAGAGACCAGCATGGTCTGAGAGCCAACATTATTCATTTTGTTTTACAGAAACTAGTTTCCTGACCCCTGCTCTAGCACAGCCTTGAAGGTTCTCAAGATGGTGGTGTGACCTTTCGGAGTTTGCTGCTCAAGTTATTGAACTGGGAGTGAGAATTATATAGATTGGATCAGACAGGACTGAGAGGGAGGAAAAGGAAGGAAGAGTCAACAGACATGCGGTTCAGTGCACCTGTTTTCCCATTTTTAAAGTTAAATTTAAATGTGTTTTAAATCAGGTCCTCGATTGCTCTGGCTACAGTGCTCACTCTTCTTAAGGGACTGGGGCCTAGTGTATTGGGCAGCACAGCTGAAGATTCTCAAAAGTCTGAAGAGGACCACATACAGTGGGCAGTGAGGAAGCTGGGACCCAGAGGCAGTAAGGGGCTTTGTCCAGGGCCTCAGAGAACAAGGCTTTGAAGCCAGCCCTGCGGATTCCCCATGTGCCTGTCTTTCTACTCCACTGGGCCCTGTAACACAGTCAGGTGATTACACAAGGAAGCTGTAGTTACAGCATCTTTCTTTAATTCCCCTCATCAGAACCTTGAGCCCCAAAGCCTATCAACACAGGCACTTAAAAAAAAAGTCTGTTGTCACCGCTGCTAAGGTCAGTATGCAGTCAAGCCCCCCAGGGCCTAACCAGTGTCCTATTGTCATTGTCTTCCCCTCCTCTCCATCCCCCTCATCCCTGGCCTCTGGGCACAGCAATACTTCATCCTGCTGATCCTGACAGACGGAGTCATCACAGACATGGCAGACACCCGAGAGGCCATCGTCCACGCCTCCCACCTCCCCATGTCGGTCATCATCGTGGGCGTGGGGAATGCTGACTTCAGTGACATGCAGATGCTGGATGGTGACGACGGGATCCTGAGGTCCCCCAAGGGAGAACCTGTGCTTCGAGACATCGTCCAGTTCGTGCCCTTCAGGAACTTCAAACACGTATGCATAGACAGCTTGGGGGCTCTTCCCGTGGGAGGGCAGAACCAAAGCAGGCTCAGCCTCCACTTGTCCACACTTTGTGTGATCTGCCAATCTCGGAGCAATACCAGATGCCCCTTCCAGTGCCAGGCCTTCTCCCACAGCAAGGATATGTACAGCATAACTCTTTGGAGAAAGGAGTAGACGTTGAGTTCACAACAAGCACTCATGCTAACTATGGTAACCAACACTTTCACGGATGCCTGCTCTCATCAATATAAGTTAGCTTTTCCCCTGCCCAATGGTGTCCAGTCAGAATAGTAAGGAGAACTAAAACCCTGAAACTCACAGGGTTTTTCTTATCAAGCCATGTGCCCTGGGAGAAGTCTGTACCTGATAGATGATAGGAAATAATGGAAATAATAGGATAGAATGTGATAGAAACCTAAATTGTCTATAAATATATAGTAAGCAGCATTAAAGATGTATTTAATTCATTCATAAACAAGGTAACAAAATTAATTCAAAGCAGTAGGAGAGTTAAATACAGTCAATGGGAGGAAATGCTGGAATAAATTGGGTAAAGTACATCCAAAATTGGCAAATGACCAGTAGTGTAAAAAAAAACAGAGCATAATTTTTAGATTGTCTGGTGAATAGAAATAATTTGCATTTTATCAGTTTTAAACAATGTTTTTAAAGGCAGAGAGAGAGAAGGGGGGAGGAGAAAGGGGAGGGTGGCACTGTGGTATAGCCAGTAAAGCCACCACCTGCAGTGCCAGCATCCCATATGGGTGCTTATTCAAGTCCCTGCTACTCCACTTCTGATCCAGCTCTCTGCTATGGCCTGGGAAAGCAGTAGAAGATGGCTCAAGAACTTGGGTCCCTGCACCTGCGTGGGAGACCTGGAGGAAGCTCCTGGCTCCTGGCTCCTGGCTTCAGATCAGCCCAGCTCCTGCAGTTGAGGCCATTTGGGGAGTGAATCAGTGGATGGAAAACATATCTCTCTCTCTCTCTCCCTCCCTCCCTCCTTCCCTCTCCTCTTCCTCCTCCTCTCTCTGTAACTCTGTCTTCAAATAAATAAATAATCGAGAGAGAGAGAGAGAGAGAGAGAGAGAGATTTGCCATCTGCTGCTTCACTTTCCAAATGCCCACAACCACCAGAGCTGTACCAGGCCAAAACTGGGAGCTGGGAACTCAATGTCAGACTCCCATGTAGGTGGCAGGGACCTAAGGCCTGGAACCATCACCTACTGCCTCCCAGGAAGTTCATTAGCAGGAATCTGGATCAGAAGCAGAGCTGGAACTCTAACTCAGCCACCCCAGTATGGGATGTGGGTGTCCCAAGAGGTGACGTAACCACTGTGTCCAATACCTGCCCCAGTTTTCTTCAAATTAGCATCTTGGGCTCTTGTCAATAATAAATGGTGAATCAAGCAGCATCTCACTCCCTGATGGAACAGTAGGAATCAGCCCAGTAGACATTGCGCTAGTCTGCCATGATGGTCTTCAGTAACCATTTTTCCATATTTCCAAATTTTGGTTAATTGTCAAGTCTCTAGAGGAAGGGATGCCTTTAAGGTTTCCACAAACCCTGCACCCATGGAGCTATCGTGGGCAACAAGCACACCCTCTAATTCTTAAAAGCTCTGTGGGAGCTAGTAGTGGCCCTGAGGCCCTTCAGAGGCTCCCTCAGCTGTGTCTTGGAGTGCAGGGGTTGCTTTGTGCACCCTGTGAGTCCACCCAATAGCAGATCATCCCCAGCCCTGTTTCCCTTGGAGTTCTTGCCATCTGCACTGTGGTTGGTGCCAATAATGCCAGTCACTGCTGCTGAGGAGCTGTTCACTAAGCTTGAACAAATGGCAGTATCTTGCAGCAATTCTGCCATCTCCTTGGAAAAGAAGAAATTTCCCTCCTTTTCCAAGCTGTGGAGTCTCCTCCAAGGCCTGAACCAAAAATATAGTGAAATCATGTCCCCCCAGTCTTAGGAATTCTGCTGGAAATGTCTTCGTTAGCACCCCCTGCAGCCTCTTGCCTTCTTGAAGCTCAAGTCAGTGATGAGGTCAGGGGCTGGAAGGCACAGGCACCATGCCTTGAGGAACTGCCATCCACATGAATCCCTGACATAATTCACAGTCCAGGCACATCCAAATCCCAAGTGGGCCCACACTGGGTAAGCTAAGGAGGGATGGATCGTTGTTGATTATAGCTGTGTGCTATGATGCTCCATGTATTCTTCCCTCCCTCTACTTTATTGCTGCCTCAATACCAGTCTCGGTGTCAGAGTCCTTAGCATTTGCTCTTCAGCAATTGCTGTTTGTTCTGCCACCTTCTCAGGTCAGGCTTCCCAGTAAGCACTGAAATAAAGCCCCAGCCCCGCAGCCTCAGCCGAACCCTAGATATCAACACCTGCTGAGAAGTGACTGCACATTCCAGGGCTCCTTGAGTGATAAGGTATTGCTTGTTCATAACCGTACAGCCACACAATTATCCCTCTCCTTTTAGGGCAAGCCGCAGTGATTAAAATCTTTAAGGCAGCAGAAAATCAATGCTTAGCTGCAGAGTTGCATGCATAGGGAGTTTCCAGGTAGCAGCAGCCGCCACCAGTTTCCCCCACAATCTGTCAGGGCAGTGCCTGTGGATGAGCAGAGTAATGGTGCTGTCACATCTCATCTCCAGCTTTCTGGATGAGGAGGCTTCCAAACAAAAAGCACTCACTATATGAAAGACACTCACCAAGCCCTTACATTGAAGGTGTGTGGACAATAAAGAGTGGCATCAAAAACTCATATTCTTTTGGGTTGGGCACATGGTGCAGCAGTTAAGACACCACTTGGGATGCCCATAGCCATATCAGAGTGCCTGGTTTGAGTCCCCAATCCTCTGCTTCCAATTCCAGCTTCCCACAAATGTGCACCCTGGGAGACAGCAAGTGATGGCTCTCAAGTACTTGGGGCCCTGTCACCCATATGGGATACCCAAATGGAGTTCCAGGCCTCTGGTTTCTGCTTGGCCCAGCCATGTCTGTGACAGACATTTGGGGAATGAATCAGTGGTTCAGAGCTTTCTCTCTCTCTATGTCTCTCTCTCTCTCTCTCCCTCTCTCCTCTCTCTCTCTCTCTCTCTCCACACACACACACACACACACACACACATGTTTATATATATATATATATATATATATATATATATATATATATAAAATGTGTATACATATAATGTATATATCTTGCCCTGCCTTTCAAATAAAATAAAAATAAATAGGTTCTCTACAAGGAGGGCTGTGCTAGAGCCAAATTTGCACTTTCACCACCAGTAAAGTTAGTTACTTCACAAGGTGAAAGGAAGGGAGTTCTAGATTTTAATGTTCTGCTCTGTTTAGTCCACCAAAGGAGGGCGCTCCATCACTGCTCACTCCTCTAACTTTGCCTAAGTGAAGAAGAAGCAAAGAGCTCACAAGTGTGACCAAGTAGCAGCACACACACAAAAAATAATACTACTGAGCACCCTATGGCTGTTTGACAAGAACTATAATGTCACTGCAGGACTTCAGAGCAGAAGGCAGCAGCCATGAGGAAAGCTTACAGCTCAGACTTAGAGAAAATGGGGGCAGTGTTGAGGAAGGACAGAGCCACAATGAGCAAGGAATTGAGGGAGATGACAAAGGGGTGCTGCTCCTAGTCTCTGCCATGAGAGCCTCCAGCTGTTCCGTGGATGACTAAGGCAGAATGCCAGGAGCAGGCTCACCCACCTTATATTCATGGATTTCAAATTAGATTTTGAAAAGCATTTCATTATCTTAACTAAACAACTCTGAATTCAATATGCCATAAATAAAAGGGAAGGTAAGAGTTGATATTATTTCATATAAGCCAGTAGTCCATGAATTGCCTCTCATTTTCTGCTCTGCATGAAAACTAGGGGCCTTAAAGTGGACAGGGCACAGGCTCTAGGCTATGTGGCTCTGGGCAAGCTATTTAACTTGTGTGTGCCACAGATTTTCATTGATAAAATGAGACAAATACTCTGACATTGGAACATTGAAGGTAAAGTCAACATAAAGTGTAGCATGGTACCTGATCCATGTAGGTGGTTAACAAATACAACTTTTATTATTTCTACTACCAGCTGCTTTCATATTTTTGGCCTTTTCCCAACCAACTAATGTCCCCAGTGCCATATTTGCTTTGCCACCAACACAGCATGCAAGGAGTGGAGAAATAACTGAGGGACAGTGCTGTCCACTATGGTAGCCAGTGGCCACATGTGGCTATTTAAATTTAATTCACTAAAATTAACAAAAAACTGGAACAGTTCCTCATTCACACCAGCTACATTTCAAGGGCTCAGTACTTGCATGTGGTTGCTGACTCCCACACTGAACAGCACAAGCATAGACTGTTTCCATGAACTCAGAATGTTCTAAACAACCTTGTTTAAAGATATTTTGGTTGCATATAAGAGCAAATCCATCTTATCTGGATTACATGACTGGTTCTTAACCAAAGGGTAACATTACTACCTGGGAGACATTTGGAAGTCTGGTGACTTTTAAAAATTGTATTTATTTGTTTGAGAGAGAGATGAAAAGATTGCCCACCTGCTGATTGACCCTCCCCCCAAAATGTTTTCAAGAGCTGGGTCTGGGCCAAGGCTAAAGCCAGGAGCCAGCAACACAATCCAGTTCTCCTACACCGGTGGCAAGGAAGCAATTACTTGAGCCATCACCACTGCCTCCCAGGGTCTGCATTAGAAGGAAGCAGGAGCTGGGACTTGAACCCTAGCATTCTGATATGGGCACAGGCATCTTAACCACTAGACCAAACACCCATTCCTGGGGACGTCTTTGATGGTGACAGCTGTGCAGTGCTACTTGCTCCCAGTGGATGGAGGCCAGGACTGCTGTTAAACATCCTGCAAGGCACAGGAGAGTACCCAGTCCCAAATGTTGTAGTGCCAAGCTTGAGAAACCATGGAATGTAACAATACTAATGCATTTTTCTCATGGAGCTGGAGGTTTGGGCTGGTAACTATTGGTAACAAGGCCAGCACTTTGTGATTCCTTTTGCTGTTCCCTAATGATGATAAAAATGACAGGAATCACATCCTAGTTTCAAGGAGAAAGGAAGGGAAAAGAGAAAGAGAGTCAATACCTATCCCTTTTAATTATGAAAAAAAAAGTTTTCGAATGAACATCCCCCAAGAAACTTCCACTTATATCTCAAAGAGCAAAAGTGGGTCATGTGGTTATCCGTAAATGCAGAGGAGGCTGGGAAACCTAGCGTTTTGTTTTCTAGCCTTGTGTGAGAGATGGCCAGGGAGAAAAGAGTGGGAATGCCTTTTGTGTCTGCCCCAGTGTACACATGGATCATGATCTCACACATAACTCTGAGGAGTCATTTATAAAATAAAAGAGCTCTATGGGATCCAACGGCCCAACCTGATGTGACACCCTTAAAAGGTAAGAGGTCAATTGGGAAAAACTCTTCAGGAGGTATAAATGATATTAATGTGAACCCTTTGAGACAGAATGCATTCTTATTCTTTCCTATTTTGCCTTTGAGAACACTAGGACCGAGCAAATCTGAATGAGTTCTAAGCCATAATAAGAAAGAAAGATTTCATAATCAGGCTACTTGTCATCTGGTCCAGCCCTCATTCCTTCAGAATCTCAAACACTTGTCCTTCTGCCCCAGTTGTCAACCTCTTCAATAATAGTGAATAAAGTGGCTCAGGCAGCTGAAATTACTTTCCTGGAGGTTGTGTAGATGCCAGAGCCAGGAGTCAGATCCAGCTCTGCATGACTCCAGTGCATGCATGATATCAGCCTCAACCTTCTTGCACTGCAGTCATCACCATGGGTTGCATGATCCTGTGCCTCTGCCCCTAGAGAGCTACAATAATCACGGTGGTATTCAAGACCCTCTATCTCCTGGGCTCAAGCTCCTTTTCCAACTGAGCGGCCCACTGATTCAACAGCTGCAACTCATACTAATCCACACTTCCTTCAACCCCACCACATGACCCACTACCCCAGACATGATCAAATGTCATCCCCCTATCCCTTCTCTGCGTTTTAAAATATGTCCACCTGTAGCAGATGATGGCTCAACTGCTTGGGTCCCTGCCACCCGTAGGAGAGACCTAGAAGGAGCTATCAATTTCTGGCTTAAGCCTGACCCAGGTCTGCCTGCTGAGGGCAGGGGAGAGTGAACCAGCAGACAGAGTATCTCTCCATCTGTCACTCTGTCTTTCAAATAAAATGAAAATAAATTAATAAAAAATTTTAGAAATAGACAATGTCCACCTCCTCTTGGAATCCAGCCGCCATTTTCTCCAAGGTAACTTAGTCTCTTTGTTCCCTGTGTCCTGGCCACGGTGCTGTGACTCTCAGGGCAGACTTTCCAAGTTCCAACATGCATTGGAACCACTGAGGCATCACGTTCAAATGCAAATTCTGATTCAGTAGCTCAGGGTTGGGTCTAAGAGTCTACCTTCCTTATAATCCCATGAATGGTGTGCTGCTGAATGGTGTGCTGCTGCTGTCTGCATCATCAGTCAAGTTCTATCTGTAGCAGAGTTAGTACTGGATAATGGTCATGCCAGGCTCCCCTCAAACGATTATTGCCTCCTTGATGGCAATCACCAAAGCCCCTACACCCTTGCAAAGCACCTGGAAACAAAGCATTTAGAATTGAATGCAAATCAGACACAAAACTGCAGGACAGTTCCTTCTCCCGTCCAACTTTCACTCACCCTCTGAGGTCAATAGTTTTATATTTTGAGATAAGCATGAACAAATATAATGCTGAAATTAATGGTTCACTTCCCAATACTCTTTTGACAATCCTTGTTTGAAGTTGACCCTCAATGAAGAATGAATGAATGAGCCCAGCTTCTCAGGGCAAGACTCTACTCTTTGAACACAAGCCAAAGTCACGGTAATTCTTCTTCCCCGCAGGCCTCTCCAGCTGCCCTGGCAAAGAGCGTGTTGGCAGAAGTCCCAAACCAAGTCGTGGACTATTACAACGGCAAGGGGATTAAACCAAAATGTTCATCAGAAATGTATGAATCTTCCAGGACACTAGCACCATGAACTTTGCACACTTTTACAGAGTTCTGAAATACTACTACTGCTAATATTTAATACTTCTACTACTCCCGTACTTAAAAAAATACACATTTAAAAATAGCACGTTTCGGTGATTTTTAACTATTTTTTTTGCATGTGTAGCCTCAGCACCTGGATCTATTAAGCCCTTGTATTGTTGAAGACTTTTTACAAAGAACAACAGATAATAACTTACTCTTTACACTACAGCATGTCGCCTTGAAATAAAATGGTATCTGTATCTGTTTTTTATACAGGTTTGTTGAATTTTGCTAAATTTCTTATTATCTTTACACTGTAAAGCATTTTGAAATATTTATTGAACGTTGATAGCCAAAACATATTTGGTTTTATCTGCTACAGGATGAGAGACTTTTCAAAACAGCAGATGCATGGACTGTATTTTGCATGTTTAAAGTAATTTAAAAAAAAACACACCACACTGTTTTTGCAGGTGTTACCTTAACTTCTCCCTGCTGAGAATGGTCTCTGTACTAAGAAAGATGTATAGTGACTGATCTGTTTGGAGTGGGTTCGTGGAATCCAGCCCAGCCCCTCTCAGGCTGAATTCACTATACACGTGTGTCACCTGAGAGCTGAAATTCAGAGGTTGATACAGTAGGTCTGAGTGGGGCCTGAAATGCCTGGTTCCTTAACCAAGTCCCAGATGATGCTACTGCAGTCCTTGCACTGCACGGAGAGTAGGGAGGCTCTCAATGTCAGGTGTCATAGTAGAGACCATCTGAGACAGGGCAGCTCCTAGCCTGCTTGAGAATGGCACCTTTCCCTTGCCCATAGCATCAAGGTCCTGCCTGTGCCAGAGGTGAGAGTAGAAAGGAATGAGACTGACTCCAGAAGTTGCAGAGCCCCAAATCAGTCTCACTGCTTTAGAGTCACACCTCTTCCCTAAACAAGACTATGGAGTACTCCTCCTGGCTGGCTCCACCCTCTTAAAAGAGGCATGTACATGACTGCATGGATGGTTCTACTTATATGCCAATCCCTGGGAACAATCTCAAAGAGTCCTCATTGGAACCACAGTGATGGGAACTTGTCCATGGCAAATGGCCATGAAATGTGGCTCCCCGGATCTTGGATCTTTGAGCTCAGCCTGGGGCTTCCTTTTTGCCTCTTTTTATCACTCCTGAGGTCAAACTCTAAGCAGAATTTGTTTCAATATGTTAGCCAGTCTTGAAACAAAGAATGAATCCTTCACTTGTTTAATTGTCTATCAGATAAATAAACAAGTGTTTTTGCAAGTATAAAAGGCACAGAGTGGAATGTATTTTTGGCCAGAGAGATGGGGAAGTAAATCACAAGGCAAAATAAATCTGTTTGTTGTTTGTTTCAGGGGGAGCAATATTAACAAGCAAATCAAATGCCTTGTATGATTTCCAGAGTTATAATTATAGATCTTAATCTTGCAAATACATGTCAATAAAATGCAAAACATTTTGGGAATGATGGTAAAAATGTTTGACTGAAAAATCATAAATATTTAAACTGTATTGTTTTATGAATAAATTGGACACTTACAGAATTTTTTCTAAGAGTAGTGGTCTTGTTTCTCTTCTCAAAGCTATTCCCTAAGAGTTATTTCTTTCATGTGGGTAACATGGCCTCAGATTGGAAATAGCTCTTTCACAGTCCCAGGGAGCTATATCGACCACTGCTCCTAAAAAGCAAGGAAGGAAAATATTTAGATACTACATTTAAGAAATTACTGGTAGATATTTTTTTCTTTTTTAAAAAAAGATTTATTCATTTATTTGAAAGATATAGTTTACAGAGAGAAGGAGACACAAGCTCACAGAGAGAGAGAGAGAGAGAGAGAGAGAAAGGAGAGAGGGAGAGAGAGGGTGCTTTCATCTGCTGGTTCACTCCCCAAATGGCCACAATGGCTGGAGTTGATCTGATCCAAAGCCAGGATCCAGGCAGGAGCCAGGAGCCAGGACCTTCTTCTGGGTTTCCCACGTGGGTGCAGGCACTTGAGCCATCTTCTACTGCTTTCTCAGGCACATTAACAGGCTACTGGATCATATGTGGAGCAGCTGGAATGCCAACCTGAGCCCAACCAAATAGGATGCTGACATTGCAGGTGTCAGCTTTACACACTACACCACAACGCCAGCCCCTGGCAGATGTTCCTAGCCCCAAACCAGGTCAATGACTTCCATGTGTGTGTACCTAGAACATAGAAAACACTCAATAAATGTTTAATGAATACAGAAAGGGCTAATAAAATGAATAAATAAATAAATGGACTTGTTAATATGCCTCATGATCACTCTAATCCATAGTAGACTTAACAAGTAGGCTAAGTGTGGCTGCCAATCAAAGTGATGCAACATGGGTTGGGATCTCTACATGCCTGGAGGATCCCTGGGGTCTGAAAGATGGGGCAACAAGGACAGAGTCCAGTTTGCCTGGCAAAGCTGTAAGGTAGTTTTCTTCCCTGTTCATAGCCAGAGAGACTCCAGTGTAACTCAAGAGAATAATAAACTAATATCAACATTGTTAAATGGTGTCTTAGCTCAGGTTGCTACAATAGAATATCATAAACTAGATGGTTTAAACACCATACACGCCTTTCTCACAGTTCCAGGGTCTGGGAAGTCAAATTTCCTGGCAAGGGCTCCCTTCCTGGCTTGCACACAGCGGTTCGCCCATGTGCTCGTATGGCAGACAGTGCAAGCTCTCTAGAGTCTTATTAGGGGCACTCAGCCCATTGTGAAGACCTCACCCAAACCTAGTCATCCCCAAACCCCCACTTCCCAACACCATCACACAGGGGTTAGGGCTTCAGTGTATTGATATTAGAGGAACACAAACCCCAGTCCATAAAAGCGGCATGCCAGGCACCGTCCTGTGTGCTGCCTGAGCTATCTAATCTGGTCCTCCCACTCTCCCTGTGAGACAGTCTGTATGTGAGCCTCACTTTGCAGGTGAGGAAGCTGAAAAGCAGAGATGGTAAACAACTTGCCAAAGTCACATGGCTACCAAAGAGCAGACCTTGGATTTGAACACAGATGCTCAGGCTCATTATATAACCCTCATTTCAGCCACCCTCCTGGCATATTACATAGCTTGCCATATTAACCAGAGATTATTAGGAAATTTGAGGCAAATGAGCACTGAAACGGACCTTTGCCCCAGATCCAGAAATATCTGTCTCATCTGATGATCTCATCAGCTTCCCAGTGTGGGCTCTTGGCATCTGGTGACACACAGCATCCCCTGGGAGCAAAAGAAGATGCTCAAGATACAACTAGGCCTCCCAACTTCCTGCCACCAAGGAGCCATCAGACATCAGTCACGGATTGTCCTAGCATGAGTAAGGCACATTCAGAACAGGAGCAGGTCAGGTATAGGAACCCACAGTGATGGGACAGAGGCAAGATGTGGGTCCAGAAAGGGCAGCAGCTGCACAATTCTGGGGCCAGGAAAGAAGGTGGACCCAAGAAGGTGGTTTATCCAGTATCCAAGGGAATTGAAGAATCTGATATTCCACCTAAAACCTATGACTACTGAATATTCAAAACTGATCTATGAATATTGAAAGCTCACTCAAAACTCAACAAGTATTTCAGATACCACAAGAACCACACCATAAAATGAAAGGGAAAGTATTTTAGGGTTTGCAATGCTAATTGGGGTGCAGATTTGAAGCTACTGGACATTACCCTGCATGTGTGCCCTCCCCTGGGTCTCAGCAAATAATATACTCCCTGAAATTCTTTTTTATAAACAATATTTTTCATTCGCTGTTTATTATTTTTATTTCTTTGAAAAAGAGACAGAAATGGATGAGAGACAGAGAGATCTTCCATCCTCTGCTTCACTCCTCAAATGCCCACAACAGCTGGGGCCAAGCCAAAGCTAGAAAGCCAGGAACTCAACCCAGGTCTCCCATGTGGGTGGCAGGGACCCAGTTACTTGACCCATTACCTACTGCCTCCTAGGGTGTGCAATGGAGAGCAGAGCCAGGACTCAAACCCCGGCACTCATATGGGATACAAGCGTCACAAGCAGTGTCTTAAATGCTACACCAACACCTATCTCTCAAGTTCCTGAAAACGCTGAAGAGATTGTGTTTCTGTGGTTTATGTCTATCAATATCTTTATGAATTCGTCTAGATAATAATATAGACCCATTACATGTAAACATAAATACAATATTTTTATTAAAAACTTTATTTTCAAAAGAAGAGCAGCATAATTATACAATTTTGCAAATCTTTAGTGTCTTTCTTAATCAAGACAACAGGAAACTCAGATAAATCTGCATTCAACCCATCATGAAATTGTTTAGGTTGAAGTAGAATATTGAAAATCTGGTCTCACATTGATGCGTAGTTGGAAAGTACAAAGCATGAGGCACAACAGTAAAGTACTGCTCAGGAGGTCTGCATCCCATATCAGACTGCCTGGGTTCCAGTCTTGGCTCTGCTTCTGAACCCAGCTTCCTGCTAATGAGCACTCTGTGAGGCTCAAAGTAGTTGACTCTGCTGCCCATGTGGGAGAACCCAGATTGAATTCCCAGCTCCTGGCTTCAGCCTGGCCCAGCCCCAATTCTTGTGGGCTTTTGAGGAACCAGTAGGTGCAAGATCTCTCTAACACACACACACACACACACACACACACACTCTCTCTCTCTCTCCCCCTCTCTCTCCCTCTTCTCTCTTTCACATAAATAAAAATGCTTGTAAAGGGAAGGCTTTTCCTAGCCTCTTCAGATAACTGTGCTTAATTTTTTACAACATTCAACAAGTGATAGTTTTGGTTTTTTTTTTTGACAGGCAGAGTGGACAGTGAGAGAGAGAGACAGAGAGAAAGGTCTTCCTTTGCCGTTGGTTCACCCTCCAGTGGCCACCACGGCCGGCATGCTGCAGCCGGCGCACCGCGCTGATCCGATGGCAGGAGCCAGGTACTTATCCTGGTCTCCCATGGGGTGCAGGGCCCAAGTACTTGGGCCATCCTCCACTGCACTTCCGGGCCACAGCAGAGGGCTGGCCTGGAAGAGGGGCAACCGGGACAGAATCCGGCGCCCCAACCGGGACCAGAACCCGGTGTGCCGGCGCCACAAGGTGAAGGATTAGCCTAGTGAGCCGGGGCGCTGGCTAAGTGATAAGTTTTTAAGTTACCATGTGGAATATAAAATCATGTCAATAACCCTCTCCTGGCTTTTTCAATGATTCTTTCACCCATGCATGATTTTATAACATTATGCATTGGTCATTTAGAAAATACTGATTCACTCAGTTATTCAGATGTCTCAAATGCTTACGCAGTTCATTTTACAATATAAGAAATTCCACACGTTCTCCTGCTGTATAATATCACTGCTGATCTCATCAAAACGTCTTTAAGCATATAGAATCTATGAGATTCTAGTGGCAGTTTCACGTTTTCCCACATTCTAACCTGTGCTGGAAAGTTCAAATGTTATCATTGGCCACAGACACTGTCAGCTGTTTTTCTTGATGTATCAGGCTCTCTTCACGCATTTTTAAGAAAGCATGTCCCAATTACCCAAGACACAACAACCCTAGATACTGGTCAGCCTTTTAAAAAAAAAATTTCGGAGTAGAAATGATTTGGTGGGGGAAAAGGCAGATAATTCAGCGTGAATTACAGTGACACACATGCCTACTTTTGGGGAGCTATTTGAGGTTGAAATGCAGCAAATGCACATTTGAGTGCTTTGCAGTTTGTCACCAGCATATGAAAAAGACATGGGCTCAAGGGCCAAGAGCTAATAAAACAAAGATTTTTTTCCTGCTTCACCCAGAACTCTCTTAACAGAAACCGTCTGTTCTTCCTGCAAGTGTGAGGCAGTGAGAAGCTGAGGGGTGCTGGGGTGCCACCTTCTCAGCCTGAGCCTCGGCTCCGGCAGCTGTACCTGCCATGAGCTTCACACCACTCGTACAGATGTCAGTACAGTGGGAAAGGTGTTATGAGAATAGTATGTACCGAACAGACTCCCCGAGAGGGACTCAGGGTCCTTGAGAGAGCGCAGTGAGAGGTGCTTGCCCTTCGAGGAGTGAGGAACATCCAGCCCCCAGCTGTAAAAGACCCTGCAAGGCAACTGCAGGTAGGCGTTGAAATTCAATAAATCTACAATAAGCAAATTTTCTTTTTATTTTTTAAAGATACATTTCTTATTTGAAAGGCAGAGTTACAGAGAAAGAGAGGGAAAGCTAGAGAGACAGATCTTCTTTCTGATGGTTCATCCCCCAAATGGCTGCCATGGCCAAGGCTGTACCACTCTGAAGCCAGGAGCCAAGAGATTCATCTAGGCCTCCCATGTGGGTGCCAGGACCCAAGCACTTGGGCCATCTTCCACTGCTTTCCCAGGCCATTAGCAGGGAGCGGGCTCAGAAGTGGAGCATCCAGGACTTGAACCAGCACCCATATGGGAGGCCAGCATTGCAGGTGGCAGCTTTACCCTTTATGTCACAATGCTGGCCTCCAAGAAAGCTAATTTTCAAGTTGATAATTTTGTATGGTCCATGAATAATGTCATAAATATACAAATGG